CGCCCACGATGGCCCTGGAGGAGCCCGCCGGCTCCAGGATGGTGGGGCGCACGCGAAAACCCGGAAACTGGATGCTGGGAGCGCGCCCCCCAGCGGACTCTCCAGACCCAGAGGCAGCGACCACCCGAGTGGATCTGCGGCGTTTCCTGACAGCGGTCCAAGAGACCGCGTGGACTGCCACTTCTTCCCGTGGGGAAGCCCCTTCTGTCACTGATTCATTCATTCATTCATTCATTCATTCACCAACTGTCTCCTTAGTGCCTACGATCTGCCACGCATTGTCTCAGGATCTGAGGCTACAGCAGTTATTAAAATGCAGCCTGGCCGTAACCGGTTTGGCTCAGTGGATAGAGCGTCGGCCTGCGGACTGAAGGGTCCCAGGTTCGATTCCGGTCAAGGGCATGTACCTTGGTTGCAAGCACATCCCCAGTGGGAGGTGTGCAGGAGGCGGCTGGTCAATGTTTCTCTCTCATCGATGTTTCTAACTATCTCTCTCCCTTCCTCTCTGTAAAAAATCAATAAAATATATATTAAAAAAATAATAAAATAAAATGCAGCCTGCTTTCTTGCATATTAACTCCGGTGAAATTAAACAGATAAATAAATAGGAAAATAGATAACATTCTGGGACTAGCTGATGGTAAGGGCTATGAGGAAAGGGGAAGCAGCGTGTAGAGTGGAGAGTAGAGGATAATTAGAGTTCCTCTCTGGCAATTGTGGGCTAGGATACTTGTATCAACGCACCTCAGAAAACAATATTAAAAAGTAAAAGTCTGGCCCGGCTGGTGTGGCTCAGCATTGATCTATGAACCAGGAGTTATGGCTCCATTCCTGGTCAGGACACATGCGCGGGTTGCAGGCTCTATCCCCAGTAGGGGGCATGCAGGAGGCAGCCGATCAATGATTCTCTTTCATCATTGATCTTTCTATCTTTCTCTCTCTCTCCCTCTCCCTTCCTCTGTGAAATCTGTAAACGTCTGAAATATATGTATTGTAATGTTTTTAAAGTTGACTAAACTAATGTTTTAGTTTACTAGGGCAGTCATAGCTGGATGGCTTAAATGACAGAAATGTGTTGTCTCAGTTGTGGAGACCAAAAGTCCAGGATCCAGGTGTCAGCAGGGTTGACTTCTCCTGAGACCTTTCTTCTTGGCTACAAACGGTTGCTTTCTCCCTGTGTCTTCCCTGGGTCTTTCCTCTGCGTGCCTTCATGGCCCTGGTACGTCTCTGTCGGTCCAAATTACTTCTTATAAAGACACCAGGCAGACTGGTTTAGAGCACATTCTAATGCCTCATTTTAACTCACTTATCTCTTTAAAGTGATTATGTTTAATCACCAAAATATGTGATTAAATACAGTCACATTCTGAGGTACTGGTGGTTAGGGTTTCAACATATGAATTTTGGGGACACACAATTCAGCCCATAACACGGTGTCTAAGAGATGGCAAGATAGAATTATCAGACCAAAAGCTGGAAAGCAAGATCCGGGGAGATAATCCAATTGGAAACAGGCAATCCAACTTGAAACACTGGAAGATGCTTTTGCCCTGAGACATTTACCTAAATGGAAATTGTGATCTTCCTTTTACACTTCAAAGAAGATAAACATAAATAAAACACAATGTGTAGGGAGTGAAGTCCAAGACCTTCTGTATAATAATGGGTCCCCAAAAGGTCACACCCTCAGGATGAGGATGAATTGGAAGTGGAATTGCTGGGGTTAAATTACCTGTCTCGAGATTAC